GAATATCTCCATACAAATAAGCTTTTAGTAGCACTACAAGTCTCCATGCTGCTTTTGGAGGCATTAAATTTTTGAATCAATTCCAACTGTTGTAAGAACTCCACATGTGTTTCCAGTTTCAACTTATGAGCTTGAAACTGCTCTAGAATTTTATGCATGTGTGAGATGCCAAACATTCCTTCAATCAGTCTTAGCAAAATTAGCTCGTCTTCAATAGACATTTCTTCCGAAACCATTCTTTCAAACTCACACTATCTCAACATTTCTTCCAATTTCTGTACATATTGCATAATAGTTTCATCCAATCTCTGTCTATTTTCAAGAAATTTAGTTCTTTCTGCTATGACCAGTCTTTCTTTTGGTCATATATTTGCTTTTATGATGGCAGTAATTTCTTCATAGGCTAAATCTTCCAACATTTTGGGATAGACCATGACGGAGATTTTTTTATGGTTTCACACCCTGATGAAGCCAAAAACACATCCATAAGTTCATTTTAACCTCCACTAAACTACAAGAAAATGGAGTGCATGGTCATCAGTAAGAGGATGAGCCCAAAATGTGATCTGAAGGTCAGGAATAATAGAATCAAGCAGACATGTGATCTGTGAAATTTCTTACTTAGGTTTGTTTTGATTGAAGAATGATTACTTAAGTTTTGATGAAAATTGCTTACTTAGGTTTTAATTTGAGCTATTATTATGATAAAGGTATAAAAAAAAAACATGTCACTATGTCAGATGTTTATACAGGGGCACAATTTCAATGCCATAAACATTATTTTCCATGACTGGAGATCTTCAAGGAAATATAAGCCTAGCTCCAAGAGATCTTTCTATCAGGTAACTTTCATTGCACTAAAAGAGGATACAATCATGGCTGCTCCCTGACACCTGTGGCAATACTAGTTCATTTTTATACTTACCTATGCACAAATATTGCAGGGTGTTAAAAAATAAAAAATGGCTATGAGTTGAATTATGAAGGATCTATTGATCTGATTGTCATTGATAATATAAAACTATTTATAATGACAAAGAAGATATTTGAAATTGAAAAGAATAAATTTAGTATAGGAGATAAGGAAACTAAACAGAATATGGTAATGATAATTGTAGTGATATATAAATGACTGCCTAATTAGCATAGCTAAGGCATAGGGACTATATCAGTGCCCAAGCAGTAAGGGGAGGGGCAGAATATGATACACAAGATTAAGGACTACCACTGGACTGAGAAAATATAAAGGAAATCACAACAGTAATATTAGTTGTTTTTTTTTATCATTTCACCCTAAACAGAGCAATAAAGCCACTAAGGCACAAGGGATTACTGAATGTGAAAGAATATGAGAAAAAGAAAATATTATTAAGCAGAGAGAACAATAAAAGGGCAGGAATTAAGAAGATCAAAGTTGACTGGGAAGCAAGAAGCTGGAAGTGAGTTCCATAAGCAAGAAGTGTGAGAGAAGAAACTGTTAACATAGAACTTATAGTTACATCTAGCCATTTCAACAGTAAGATGATGAGATCTTGCTGCCAATCTAGTCAGTCAGTCAGTTAAGTGCTATATGTGATACACACTTGGGTGATTATGTCTCTTTTAATTCATGACTAACTAGGTAGAATATTTTCCAACAGTAGGTTCTGTGATAAACTGATTGCCAACCAGTACTATACAGCCCAGTTAGTCTTGCTATTTAATCCATAGCTTGGGGTAGAAGAGATGGATTCATACTTTTCCCAAGGGTATTTGTGCGTAAATGAAAGTAACGAACCTGATTGGAATTCAGACACAGTTCTCTAGTAGTACGCTTAAATTCATGGAAATATTTGGCATTCATTGACCAAGCAACCAGTTCTACTTTTGGTTGAAATTGATAAAATCTTTCTCTTAAAACAATTTTTCAGTAAAGTAGCTTCATCAAGTCCAGTAACTGTTATCACTCTTTCCAGTACTGATGGGGTTTCCTTCCTAACATTTTCTTTGGAGTAGTATGAATTTGAGGGAATACTTTTGTCCAACACCCAGCCACAAAACCAAAATATTGATATGAAAATTAAAACTTATATTCTTAAATAGCTTCATCAGATCTAGAGTTTCGTCTCCAGTTCACGAGGTCACCAGTTTTTGGTTAACTGTTATCTAAGCATAGGTTAACAATAAAATGCCTAAGGGAGATAACTTCAAGTCTGTTAACTGATAATTAGAGTCATTTCCATCAATAAAAGGAATTAGCTGAAAAGAAACCTTTTCTGCACTCTAGTAGTCCATCAATTCAGAAATGACTAAACTATCATCTGCATACAACCTTTTTCTCAGATTAGTGGTTAAAATGGCTTTGAATAAATTCTATACATCTTAAAGAAAACAATCCTTCATCAGATCCTATAGACTTGTGATATAAAATCATAAAACAAAGAGATTTACTAAAGAAAAAACCCACATCACTTGAACACTTCCAACAGTGCCTATAACTGAAAGAGAAAATAATGATATAATCAAGCTGTTAACTTTTCACATACTACCAAAAACAAAAATATTGAAAGGTAACTCCCATCAATATTAGAAAGAGCTATAACATTTTATGGACTTGAAGAGAATAAAGTTCTGAAAAACTGTGTTAATAATAAGTTCTTATAGCACTACTTTAGTGTATGGTCTACTGCAGTTTCTGTGGTTTATGCTGTAATATGACTTTTAGTGTGTGGTCAACATTTCATGGTATGAATTTTTTACCTGTGTTTAACTTTTTTTACCCCTTGACCAAAGTGCTCCAGATCCATGAATATAAAATGACAAAACAAAGATTTTAAAGAAAATGAGTAGTAGTCACCTTTCAATTTACTTTGCTGGAAAGTACCGAGGAAAAAATGAAGCATATTTGATTTTGGCATTTGTAAATGATATACAAAGTGTGAATCATTAATTAAAGGATTTAAGTGTAAATTGTTTGTATCAGTGAAGTAGTATCAATGAATTCCATCATAATGATGACCATTAATGTACTATTTAGTGTTTTTTGATTATTATGATTATGATTTATATAATTAAGTGTATGTCATTAATAATTCAACATTATTCAATTTGTTTTTATCATCCTGCAGTATAAAGTTCTTGTAGTGGAGGTAGGCTGCACATTGAAATGTAAATGTGCAGGTAGACAGCATGCTAAATTGTAAATGACCTGATAAACTATACACTAAAGTAGCACTGATTTTATATATTTAAATTAGCAGTAACACTAATTGTTCAGTCAACAAATGCTGAATGTTTTCTGTATGAAACAGCTAATTTTACTGTTCCCATTATCATATCTGGGGGAGAAGTGGATTAATACATTTCCCAAGTGCATTAGTGCAAAGATAATGCAAACAGCCTCAGCTGTAGCTTGAACTTAGTTTGCTGGTTCCATTCAGTTATCCTGTACTCTGATGTGTCAGAAAACAAGGAAATTGTGGAAGATGAAGAAAATTACCAAAATGCTTGTAACAGTTTCAAGATCTTTGCAAAAAGACACTAAGAATTAGAAATCCAAGATAAAATTTCAGATAACATTGTTTATAGCATTGGAACTTGTTGTCACTTGATCTTTCACAAAAAATTCTTGGATACTAAAAGAGTGAAAATTTAAAAAAATATATATACACATATATTTTTTTCTTTTTAAATGTTATTTTTAGTAGATACTCGTATTTGAGTAGATGCTCTATTTATTTATTAAATAGTATATTTATTCATTTTCTTCTACCAGCCTTTTTCTCTTATAAGATTTCTCGAACATTAAAATCTGTCAGATTAAAAAAATCCATTTACTTCTTTAGAAAATTGCTTTGTTTATGTTTAGATATGAAACTGACAGATATGATAACATTTTGAGAGATCTATGATGAGAGAAATGCACCATTTTGGTCTCACCTAAAAAGTTCTTTGTAGCTCAGTTGGCTAGAGCAGGCTGGATCTAACGGCAGCTGCCCAAGGGGATACAGGTTTGATCCTGCTCGAGAGCACATAATCTTCTCTAATAGGTTTTCTCAAACATTCAGACCAGTAGACGAAAATAAATAAATATACTGTTTAATCAATGAACGGAATGGCTACTCAAATAGGAGCATCCACAAAGAAATAACGTTTAAAATGATAAAAATCTGTCAGATTAATAAAAAGCCATTTATTTCTTTACAAAAAAAAAAATATATATATCTAAAAATAATATATTAATAAATTTATGATAAAATCATTGAATATATTAAAGATGTACAGTGGGTTCTGGTTAAATGGAACAGCTTCAGCTTTATTGGACAAAGTGTTCAAGAACAGAATCTATGAGGATTTACTGCAGCATTCAGACAATGAAGCTAGTCCACTTGAACTAGATACTAGTGAAAGAGAATGAACAACCTTATATGTTTCATAAACATTTAATAAAACAAGGGAATAAAAAGTTATAAAAAGAGATTTAGTGGCTTATAAGAGTCCTTTTAACTGTTGGTAGGTATAACTTTATATCTTACAATGTCTTGTAGTAGCAGTTTCTCTTGGGTTGTATGTGTCTTTTTGCCCATGTTGCAGTGAGTGCAAAACAAAAAGATCATTTGTGTTTTGTACTTTATATAGACCAGGATAATGTAAACTTTAGGAGTTTAATTTCCACCAATGATCAGACTTCTTACATTTACTGCATGCTACATCCTTAAAATAAGGAGCATAACTTCTATTCTTCCTAGAGTAGCTTCCTTTTAATTGTAATTCATTTTCATTCCAATATAAAAACTATAGATTATTTTTACTGATAAAGCATTAAACTGAAAGTTTTATTTTATAAAGCTACTAGTAAATGAATCCACTAAATAATTTTAAAAATTTTCCTCATGTTTTCTTAACATTTCAGTTGCTTTAATGAAGGCAAAACAATCAAAACTTTATGATAAAAACAATAAAGAAAATGATAGCAAAGAATTTATAAAATGCTGACTTAATATGTTACATTTTCTTTCTAGGGCTTTAGTGGCTATTACAGAGTGTTATTTCCCAGAACATTATTTTGATTACAACTTGATTGGAGCCCAAGCTGATCAAGCTCTCTTGAAAGATGTATTGAAGGAAACCTTACCAAAATTATCTGCCCATCTGGAAAATAATGATATTGAATTGTCAACAATCACTCTTACTTGGTTCATGTCTATTTTCTTTGATTCTGTACCCTTCCAGGTAAGTCATTTTATCTATCTATCTATCTATATATAAAATTCTGTGACTTCTGTTCAGCCATCCATTCATCACACCCTCTAAAATAGCCATGCATTGACTGATCAAAACTAAATTTTGAAGAGAAGTGCAAGCAGGTAAGTGGGAACAAAATACAATTGGTTTTACTAGGGTGCATAGCTTAGTACAATAAATTTTCATTATTTTGGGGGGGAAAATTAAAAGTTTTATTATTTAGCATACAAAATACTCTCACTATTGTAAAAAACAGTTTAATAATTAAAATAACAAATACTTATTTAATAAAATTGCAGTATTATTTTTTGTATATATTTTTTAAAGTTTTTATATATACAAGAATCCAGTTTTCAGTTTGACTTGCATTTGCGAGAACTATAAACAAATCTCAAGGCCAAATCAAAAAGTAGGAAATTTGTTCCAGAAAGAAATACACATATTTACACCAGTTGTATATTGCATGCTCAAGAGTAAGAAATCCTAAGAATTTATTCTTTGCTGTTAAAAAGGAAAAAAAAAAATTTCTTGAAAATTGTTGTTTACCATCAAGTCCTATAAAATTAAATTAAAGAAATTATTAAACCATGAAGTAGAGTTTTTGTCAAAGTATTTTTTTAAACAAATCAGCTTATTCAAATTTCATTGATTGGTTTGTGAAATTGAATGAAAATGTAGAGTTTGTAAATCTCAACAAAAAATGTTAGTGATAACATCAATAATACTAAATACTGTAAGGATTTCAACATATTGACATGTATTGCAAAAAAAATTCTAGTATATTATAATTATGAGTACTTATGTAAACAATCAGCTATTTATTTATCACTTGTTTAAATGCTGCCTCTGCTTGGCATCAAGTTACTTCTGGTTTATGTAGGATGTGGAATATATACCTCCCAGAAATACTTTCCACATAATACATTGTATTATAATTATTTGCAAATAGTAATTATCATTATGCTTTATTAATATTATTATTAAATTACTGCTAGTGGCCTGCCACTATGCCTGGTAGACAAGAGTGCAGATGAAAATTTCCTTCTCAGTTAATGCCTTTTATTAATGGAAATGACTTTTAGTTGTTGGTAGTCCTGAAGTGATGCAGTTTCTGTTATTTAATGCAGTTCTTTGTTTTTGAATCTGTAGTGCCAGTTCACAATGTTGATAAGGCTTTCAGACTTCACTTGCTCAAAGCCATTTTTAAACATTGATCTTAGAAAGCTGTTGTATACAGATGACATTGTATATATTTCTGCATGGGTTTGGTGCTGTGCATGACATCCATATACAAGTCTCAATCTGACAATGTTATTTAAGAACATAACTAGTATTTTTATGGTAATGTTTTGGTTTTGTACCATTGTGCGGTGTTGGGCAAAACTACCTTTGGCGCAGCCTATTCTACATTCAATTTTATTTTATCCTATACCAAATTTGTTATAACTGAGTCATACGCCAAAGTATTTGAAGTGTTTAGTATTTACTAAATTCACATCCTAAATTTTTATGGTCAATTCAGTGTAGTTGTGATAGCTGATTTCATTCCAATTCCAGATCATAGTTTCTGTTTTGAAAAGATTTATCTTGAGCATTTCTTGGAATACTTGATAGAGGATGTTTTTGTTCAAGACTATTCTTATCCCAAATATGAATACCTATGTCAACAGCATAGCTCCCCTCATCATCAGTACACTGGCCTCGGTATGAAAAGCAAGATCTCTGTCTTTTATTAGTTGATTCATATGGAATGTGTAAATGATCAGAGCCCATCTCTTCACATTTATGCGTGTGAATGTGTGGAACATAATCTAGAAAAAGATTAAATAACCTGGGGTCTTCATTTCTTACTTGTCATACTCCTGATGAGGTCTGAAATGTTTCCGTACCAAGGTCTGCACCAGACTTGTAAGATTTTGTAAACCCTTATAGTATATACTATTGATGTGGTTATATATACTGTGAGGTCAACAAAGCTATAATAATGCAGCAATGAAAGTGTTAATCTATAAGCAAAGGGAGACAAGTGACACAAGGTGAATACTATCAGTGAAAAACAAAGTATTATATTTTTAAATGAATAAAAATGAGTAAAAAAAGAATAAAAATAACTATGAGTAAAACTGTATTCAAATAAAATGGATACAGAAGTAAATGCCTATTTTATTTTGTCTTTGATGAAAGAAAAATCAACAATTTGTTTTCTTGAAGCAAAATGCATTTGAAACATGTAGACCACAAGAAATACATTTATACATATATTTACTTAGTATATGTAAAAATTCAGTTGGTTTGAGATGAAATGTTTGTTATTAATACTGAGTGATCATGCAAGTAATGTTGTCCAGATGCAAACCCCAAATTTTCCAGAAATAAGGCAAGTTGTGTTTTGATTTCTGGCTAACGTTTGCTCTAGTTGCTAAGCTAGCTTACATGCAGAACAGAACATCATTTAAGATTCCATATTAGTCTATTAGAGCTCTCCCTGAAAAGCCTGTGCTAAATCTGACTTTTGCTTATAGGTTTTCAGGTTATATATTTGCTGATTAATCCTACACAAGTTGTTTGTCTTGATAAAGTTGAACTTTTATGTTTTTTTTTAAAGATAAGATTATCATATTTGATACCACCAGATTTTATATTTACTTATTCCTAGTGTATCCATGTTGTCATAACTGACAATATATACAGTTGATGTCAGAATTATTCTCTCCCTCACCCACTGCTCCACTGAATATTTGTATATTTTCTAAGGAAATGTAAATATTATAGCAGCTTATAGCCACATCATGTTGAAACACCGGTCCCCATACAATCACCAAAGTTAAGCGACACTGAGCCTGGTTAGTACCTAGATGGGTGACCACTTAGGAACACCAGGTGCTGTAAGCTTGGATGGCTCAGAATTGTTAATTGGAGAGCTGATTCCCATTAGTTTTGTTATATTCACTTATGCACAAATAGTCTTGGAAAAGGTATGAATCCACCCCTTCTCCCCTCCCACCAGCTATAGATTAATTAGTAAAATTTGTATCACTAAACTATTATTATCTCAAAAAAAATTCTTACAATCTAAAAGTATTTCCTGGATTTAAATAAGCTACAAAAGGTTGATAAGCCATAAAAAATGAATCAATCAAGTAAGCAAATATTTGTAAGTACTTACTGAATTTGCAATAGATAATTTATTCCATATTTAGTTTTAAATAATTTGTTACTTTTTTAGAAGTTTCAATCTTTTATATTCCTATATAACATGGGAGTAAATATTGGAACTGGTTTATGGTCATATGAAACCAAAATAGAATTATTTGCTCACATAAACTCTTGGTAATTTTCGAGGAAACTGAATGAAGCATGCAGACCAAAAAATACTCCCTCTATATTTAAACCCAGTGGTAGGAGTATTATACTTGGGGGAGGTTTTGCTATTTCTGAACCAGGAGAAGTAAGAGTACAAGGTATCAGGGATAAAAAGCAGTATTTGGGTATTCTTAAAAATAATATAAAACAATGTTCATGAACGCTGTCTGCAGCATCACTGCATGTTCCAACATGACAATGACCTGAAACACATGGCATAAATTGTTATAAAATTATGGTATTTTTAAACATATTTTTACAGTCATTATATTAATTTGTATTTCTGGAGGGATTAATTTATTACTTAATAGCAATAGAAAATTGATCCCCTACTTCATGTCCAGTAAAATCTTACATAACTACTAGTTTACCCATACCATAAAAATATGACTGTATATTTGAAATTGATATTATAAGTCTTACTATTATTAGGTTTTCCCATGTAAGTCTTTAAATAGCTGAGTCAGATTGAGACTTTCATATGGTTATCATACATGGCATCATATGCGTTCAGAAAGAGGGGTCTTTCAACAGCTGAAATAGTTATAGAATAGAATTTGAAGTCCCCTCCCCTCATTGATACTGGAAAGAGCAATAAAATTTAGTGGACTTGAGATTCCACACTACTTCAAATAAAAGGTTAGGAAGTAAATCCATGCCCCTATCCATACTTGAAAGAGTGATAACTGTTAGTAAACTTGAGAGACCTATTTGCCTGAAAAATTGATTTAATAGTAAAATTTAATAAATTTCTACCTAATGTAGTACTGGCTGCTCAGTCAATGAATGCCAAATGTTTCCTTATAAGGAAATGGCTAACAATACCATAGCCATTTTTACAATTCTAACAGCAGCAACAATAAAAATGGATAGTACATGTAACTTCTTTATTTGCCATGTCCCCTCAAGACAGTCAATCATAGCTCTCCACAACTTCTTGTTCCTTATTTCTCCTAAACTCTGTTCTGCCATCCATTTACTCAAGCTTACTAAGTATGTGATGTACAGTTTCTCTCGTTCTCTCCTCCCTTCAATCTGTCCTGTGAGTATCAGATTTTCCAAGCCTTCCCTCCTCATTATGTGCCAGAGAAACCTCAACTGTCTCTTCCTGATATTAAGTACAAGTTTCCTATTTGTTTACATTTTCTTTAAAACTTTGTTGTTGCTCACATTTGACTTTCCACACTATCTTAAACAAAGGTTTAGGAAAGAAACTCCTATCAATACTTGGAAGAGTGATAACAGCAGACTTGAGATGTGTAATTTCCTGAAAAACCTATAAGAGAAAGATTTTATAAATTTCAACTAACAGTAATATTGTTCAGTCAGTGAATGTTGAATATTTCCTGTATGAAAAGGGTTAATTTTACAATTACCAGGACAACTTCTGGTCAGAATAAAGACCAGAACATAAAATGCTATAATTCTGATTTTAGAAAAATGGCTACCATCCATTTTGTTTTGTTATGTCATGTGATCATGATAATGATTGATCATGGAAAGTAATAGATCCTAAATTTTAGGGCAATATTTATACTCATTAAATCTAGGCATGTGTTCTTATACTTTTAACTGAAAGTAACACTAACTTTTTTTTGTTCTTAACAAAAATAATAATCACTATTAATTTATTTATTAGATTGTTTATTGGAATGGTTTGCAAAATATCGGTGAATTGCCAATTGATTCAAACTTTATAAAATTGTAAATGATAAGGATTTCCTTATAGTTGGTTCAGATATTTTAATAATTTAGTACATATTTATAAATTTCTAAATAAAAAAATTATTTTCATATTTATTTCTTTATAAATTGGTAAATGATAAATATTGCATTGCATTAGTAATAATTATATTAGTTTTTAGAATGTTGTAAATATAAAATTCTTGTAAATAAACAATCTAATAAATAAATATTTTTATTTTAAATTCTCAAAAACAAAAAATATGTATAAATTCACTCATCATGCTTAGGTTTTATTACAATTCTAATCATTGCTTGTTAAAAAAATAAACATTGCCAAGGAGTGAAACTAGTTAAAATAATAGTGTCAAGAAAAAAAAAACATCCTTTTGACTCCATTTTTCTGTGGTCCTGAAGGTTCAAGTTTGCCAAAAATTCATCTCTAAAAGTAAAAGTTTTAGAACAGAGTTTGAATCTTAGCCTAAATATCTATGTCCCACCTCTTGCAAAACAATCTGTTGACACATGAAATTTTGAAAATAAAAAAGAAGCCACTTATTTTGGTCAATTAAGGATAGAGTTTTCTTTAGATAACAATAACTGACAACAATTAAAACAAAGGATTAAAAAAAATTGAAAATTTACATTTATTAAATTCATTGTTATGAACAACTTTTGCTTATAGAAATGTAATATGAAATTTATTAAGTTAAAATTATTTTTTGATTTAAAAATTTAAACAATATTTATGTTTTGTTAGCTATGCCAAATACAATGTGGGTGCTGAAATGTTCTCAGCTAAACTATGAAGAAAAAAAAATATCTCAGGCTTAATCATTTGGTCAGATTTTATGAAGTGGATTGGGCAAGAACTTCTCATTTCTTTGATGACAATTTAAAAAAATTATGGATGAAAGTATTTGTTAAGTGATTTCATTTTGATAACCTTTGCTGCACAATTTTGGAAAAAAAAGCATTTGATTTTCAATAGTTTACTCTCACCAGAAACAGTGTTGAAAATAAAATGAATGTGTGAAAAAAATCAGAATGATTTTACAATTAATTTGAGCTAACCCCTGTGTGCATATGCATTTGGTGTGGATGGCAAGAATTTTCTGATCTTGGTGGACATTAATAAATGAAAAGGAAAAAGACAAGAATTAGATATAATAAAAAATTTATTATAGGCTAAGAGCTTTCTTTTGGTTGATATTTATTAAATTGTTTTTTTATAACATTGTAAAAGTGTAACAAACATTGTTTGACAGAGTACAAAATTAAATTACTTGAAAACCAAATAAAGAAAATACACACTGAGATTCAAGTGCTTGTCTTGCAATAAAGTTCAATATCCTAAACATTTATTGAAATTTGAAAGTTGATAAGTGAGTGCAACAAAGATGATTTCAGTCAATGTCTTGAGCTATTATTGGATAGATTGTATTCTGAAGTGAAGTATTTACATTATGCCATTGGACAGTTATCATCTTTGATGTTTTTAATTTTAGCAGATGTTCCTCAGCTCTATATTATACCCAATGGTGTGTGTGTGTGTATATATATATATATATATGACAATAGGAAAACTGTAATAGTTGCCGTTTCGTCCAATATCACATTGGACGAAATGGCAACTATTACAGTTTTCCTATTGTCATTTATATTTATAAATATTGTCTTTTCTACAGGTTAACTCTGAGAAATTTTCATATATATATATATATATATATATATATATATATATATATAATACTAATTATTTTTCTTTTGACTAGAACAATAAATTAATAGTCACAGAATAGAGTCTTCAGGTCTTGGATTATTGACAATAGTCAGGTATATATTACCTAGTAATTGTCTATTTCTTGACTCTGTTATGACCCCTTAAACAGTTGAAATACATTCAGTACTTTTCTGAATAAGATGCTGAAATATGTTCAAGCAATAAAAGATGAAGGCAATAGTTTGAAAAAATATTAAACTGAAATAATTAAATAAGTGTGAAAATGCTTGGCAGAAAAAAAAAAAAGAAAAGAACAAGAAAAGTTGCACAAAGATGTCATTTTAATTTTTTTAAATCATTTTTGATAATTTCCAAAGTAAAAATTTTAAGATTTATCAGACAAGTTACATATTGAAAAATAAATATGTGTAAATGATAAATAAAATTGGATTTGACCAATAAGAAAAACTCAAGATCACTTAACATTTTGTAACTAGCTGTAATCAAATATTTTGTTTAAGTTGCCAAGTTTCTCCTCCTTAGTATTTGTGTCAGGGTTGCTTCATATTGTCAGTATATTAACTGAAAATAAATGCAGCCACAATTTTCAAACATTTTGAATTTTCTGACTTTATTAATTGTAAATATTTTAAAAAAAAAATTAACATTTTTTTAGCTTTGGTTCTTCATAATCCTTGACTAAACTTGTTTGGTGACAGAAAGAGACCAGCATCTCAAAGCAAAATAACAATCATTAATTTTTCCAGAAAAAGCTATTAGTTTGGCTGCCAAAAATGACCCAGTGACATTAGTTTTCAAATATTTATACTCTCAGGGGAGAATCCTATGACAATTCACCTTTAAGGGATCCGTTTTCCAGGAAATATCTTATGCTTGAATTTTCTGATGTACACAGTTTTTAGAGTAGTACCATAGGCACTTTTGAAAGATCCCATGCTTAGAAAAAGTATCATTTTATATAATTTATTCCTTTGATTAATTTGCCAAACTCTAAAAACAAAAATTGTCAAGACATTCCAGCTGAAATGGTAAACTTTTGATACTTTTGGAAAGCTTAGACTGACAAATTGAATTTTCTGGCACCAATTCCACAAGAGAAA